CTCTGCACTCCTCCCTCGTAACAAATAGTAAACTGTGTCAAATTTTTAATGATAGTTTGTTAAATAACTTTGTTAATTTTAGAACATAAATTCTGTAAACAAATCACAGAGTTGGTCTGATGTTTTGATTATGATCAGCGTTTCATTGAGTATTTTATGTTTATTAGTTTTCGAGTTAGATTGCAATTCATCGGTCCGCTTTTGAGCCAAACGGACTATACACATTGTTATGTGGCCTTATGTGGACCAATGTATTACCTTGAAGTTAAAAATGTGTACTCCTCTGACCTTCCTCGTAGATCACTCATGCCTGTCCCAGTTCTTGATCTTGAACTTCGTGAAATGGGGATGAGATAAGTCACTGCACAATTATGTGTATTCTTAGCCTCAGTAAATGGCCCGGTTTACTGGACCGCAAACACCGCCTTTCAGCATTCTGGTTCGGGTTTTTGACCAATGCCACACTAACAGTGCTGACAAATTACAACGCAAGGGTTGAATTACCGTGGCCGACCTCTGCTGAGGGACGGGTCGACTTGCGTTGTTAGGGGGGTCTTCAATTACGGTAAAACAGTTTTAAAATAATGAAAAGGAGTCCAGATACCATTATCATTATTTGGTTAAAGGCCAGAGTGCAAACTTTAAAAAGCAGAGAAAGCACACATATATCTTTAATTATTGATCAGATAAACCTGTATTGGCAAACATGGCGGATCCCTTAATATATCGTGAGAACGAAATAAACATTTTATAACCAAATCTCAACGATTAAGTATGACTGGAATATTGCACTCTTTTAATGTGAGTGAGTGAGTGAGTTTAGTTTTACGCCGCACTCAGCAATATTCCAGCTATATGGCGGCGGTCTGTAAATAATCAAGTCTGGACCAGACAATCCAGTGATCAACAGCATGAGCATCGATCTGCGCAATTGGGAACCGATGAAGTGTGTCAACCAAGTCAGCGAGCCTGACCACCCGATCCCGTTAGTCGCCTCTTACGACAAGCATAGTCGCCTTTTGTGGCAAGCATGGGTTGCTGAAGACCTATTCTACCCCAGGTCTTCACGGGTCTCTTTTAATGTCTTTGCCGTGGGCATGTATTTCCGCGGCTTTTGAGACTAATTTAAGGACTAAAATTACAAATACACATATATTTCATGCACAAACGAGAAAGAAAGATGCAGTTATCCCCTAATTCTATAGTTTTCTATTAAATATGTATAATTTGTTTCACTAAGGACATTTGTTATTGATAATATCTAAGTCCATAGCTACTGTTTTTATCCATTACTGACTTCTTGACTTACACAAATTTATACAATAAATAACGTTTCTATGTCTCCTGAAACTTTCGCTAAATAACAAATTCAAAACATTTTGATGTTGAATTTCCTCTCTCATCGAGTAAAATTGATAGGATTAGAAGAAAACGAAATTATATGGTCTGCCTTCCAAACCTGGCATAATCTCTGGATGAGTGAGTGAGTGAGTGAGTGAGTGAGTTTAGTTTTACGCCGCTTGTAGCAATATTCCAGCAATATCACGGCGGGGGACACCAGAAATGGGCTTCACACATTGTGCCCATGTGGGGAATCGAACCCGGGTCTTCGGCGTGACGAGCGAACGCTTTAACTACTAGGCTACCACACCGCCCAATCTCTGTATGATATTTTTGCCTTTTGAACGTCCGATTAATTGTTAGTTAAATAGTTAAAAAGTCAATTATATAGGACACTACAATTTGCAAAATGACTGAAATGTACTGAACTAATCTAGAAACGCATCACCGGGGAGAAAAAGTATAATCTCCGTGATAAAGGAAAATAACTTGTCCCTCACTCCCCTGACACTGAAATTATTGTCAATCAAGATGGAAATTCAACAAAAAGCAAAAGCAGTCATTCATTTCCTGCAACCATAAATTAACGATAACATTGATGGGGATCAAACTTAAATTTTACACGCTCTCAAAACTTTCACACAGTCAATGTCAGTGACGGGTTTTGCCATCATCTGCGTCATGCACAGCCATGTCAAAACAGGAATGTTTAGCTGAAGAAGGTTCATGCAGTATCTGGCAGTATGGCGTCGTGCATAATCCCGTTGCAACACGTCAAGACGTTGAACTGCCGCCATGTTGTGTAGATGTAGGGAACGACAGATGTGTACATGTGTCCTGCCATGACAACCAATCCCTCCCCACATCATAACTCTACCTCCAATCCAGCGTTTCAGCCACTGAACAAGGCACAACATTGATTACACAATAATCTCGTTTCCTGCTGACTGGGTTCCGCCTTATTGCGCAACTAAGTACAATACCCAGTCCAGAATTTTGAAACCAATTCATTCAACTGGATATTTAAATATTAATCGGTGTTATTTGATACATATAATCACTTGTATATTGAAACACTACGCTCCTTCTAATCCTTGCAAACACGTCGTGCAGCGTGCTCTGTCGTACAGCGTGCTCTGACAAACGGAAATCTGGAAATCGTGGAAATCTCCAAACCAGGCTCGGTCGCTCGAAAAGTTTGGCGGTCTGGTACGGACTTGGTATTATATCAATCACATCGTACATTACAAAACTACACTGAATAAGCGCAAAAAACACATGACAGGTGTAACCAGTGAGCCAGAGGAATTGTGAATCACTCTACGACCTCATCAAACAGGGGCAGTCTGTGATGTCTTAGTTAAGGTAATGCTGTCTAAACCTCGCCATAAAACATAAAAATACGATTTTACTAAAGTTTATCAGTTAAAATTCATTTGCCATGTAGACTGGTCGATACACCTACGTTGCCATGTAGACTGGTCGATACACCTACGTTGCCATGTAGACTGGCCGATACACCTACGTTGCCATGTAGACTGGCCGATACACCTACGTTGTCATGTAGACTGGTCGATACACCTACGTTGTCATGTAGACTGGTCGATACACCTACGTTGCCATGTAGACTGGTCGATACACCTACGTTGCCATGTAGACTGGCCGATACACCTACGTTGCCATGTAGACTGGCCGATACACCTACGTTGTCATGTAGACTGGTCGATACACCTACGTTGTCATGTAGACTGATCGATACACCTACGTTGCCATGTAGACTGCCCGTTTCCATGTAGACTGGCCGATACGACTACGCTATCTACCGGACACGTTCACACTTTTAACCCGTTTAATGTAATGTGGACTTGAGAGTGAGATACATGTATATGTTCTTTTACGGACCACATAAAACACACTACAAGTCTGTTTAAGTATCAGACCGAAAATATATACCAAAGAACTTAAACAATAAGAAAACACAAACCTCATATCTGACAGTTTTCTCGTCGTTTACATAGTAATTTCGGCACTGATGTAACTAAATCAACGGAGGCAACAATGAAAATGTTTCCTTTTCTCTAGATCTATACATTTGTGTAATTACAGGTGTGTTGCGAGCTCAAGTCCATAATATCCGTTGAAACCTTTGTGGAAATTACTCAGTTAAATTAAAATCATCAAATTAGAAAAAAATATCGGGCATGAATACACAATGCCATTTAGAATGAAAACATCGGGCAAAATCTTCGCAGCGCTGACTGAAGTGCATCTTGCCTCTTGGACAGCTACCCAAAAAATATAATTTCAAGCGAATGAATGAATGAATGAATGTATAAATGAATGAATGAATGAATGTATAAATGAATGAATGAATGAATGTTGGTCTTCGTCTATCAGTAAATCAGGGACTGGTCTGATTCTTAAAGATGTTGTCAGTGATGCGACTCTATGCAATACCGGTATGAGAGAGAAAGGACGCCTGTTTCACAATTATTGTTTTGCTTTGCCACCATTGGGCATGCAGCGAGCGAGTGAGTGAGTGAGTGAGTGTGGTTTAGCAATATTCCAGCAATATAACGGAATACAGGTAACGAGACCCAGCTTCAGTGGTGTTGATAATTCACCCTTTATATTTGCAACTTTAAAAGCCTTGTTAAACAAAATCGCCTACTATCTACCCAAAAGAATTTGAGAAATTCAGTGAAATTATCAGGGCCGGGATTCTTGTAATTATTTAAACATTCAGGGAAGCACCAACTTCATCATATTCTAGTCCACCTTTCATTGACAATATTCCACTGATATATGTCATCGTTTAACTTTGGAACTGCTAATTTTTCTGTTGTTCTTTCAAGTTAATATCTCTTGAAATTTTCTTAATAAAAATGTACACATTCTTTTGGTATACTTCCCTGTGAATAAATTATGGTACCATTATTGTCAATTCTTCTGGTATCTGGTGTCCCCCGCCGTGATATTGCTGGAATATTGCTAAAAACTCAGTCAGTCTTCTGGTATCAGAGTTTTTGACTAGTTTTTGTTTCAAGTCCAAGAAACTATTATTTCATAACAATAACACGTTGTGTTTTGATTTTGAAATATATATAGATTTTCTATTTGATTGCGACATACTGCTTTTGGAGCATTGGCGATGGATTAGGCGTAAGATTTCATCACTGGCTTGTCAAGCAGAAGGCCCGGTTCGATTCAATATTGGTAACATTAGTGAAGAAGGTTGTTTAGCACACTTTTAGAAGAAAAGGTCACCCAAATAGAATTGTCGTTACTTGTTTTATTGTAAAATTCAACTGCGTTCATGAGGAAAGATATCTATTCCTGTGATTGCAACCATAGGACTGAAAATTATCATCAACATACTTCCATATTCCTTTCCAAATATGTAACGGCGGCTTAAGAGTTTCTAACTATTCTCGTAATCTCATATTCTCGTCAGTTATTACAAACGTGCACAATTGTGATATTCATGCTTTTCTTTCCATAAAAGAGCCCATAATTTTACACGAATGACAGTACCTTAACTGGAGATGAATTACAACACCTTCAAGGTCATCCAAGGGCCATGTGATCTTGACGGATGCTGGATAGTGCATATAAAGCGAAGCCGTGCTCACCCTGCCCACAACTCGGCGACAGAAGGCTGTACGTGTGCAAAGGTTGACGACTCCTCAACATGATGCTGCAGGCACTTTTACTCGCCAGTCTGGCGACCGTTGCTCTTGCTTCTATCTGCTGTGCTCCTCAGCAGTGGGAAGGGTTTAAAGCTGTTTCCAGTTTCGATGCCTCGGGGATAAATCGCGTAAGTACTTTTACACAATTGACTTCCACACCCAGTAATCAATGACAAGACGTAACTCTCTGGCAGGAGAACTTCCAGACGGTGCTCATTTCAGAAGCATCAACGTTTACATACATATATATATTGAAAAATACATATTACTGGCTGTGTCGAGCATGGATAATCCGAACATTTACCATGAGTTTGGTATGACGAGATTGGACTGTATTTGTAATATACAGTAAATCATGCACTCGATTATCCATGCAAAATTGTAAGACCAATCATGGGTAAGTAGAGTCCCTTTAAATGTGTGTGAATGTTCCACAGATGACTTCACTTACACGGATAAAGAAGCTTTTGTTGTCAAATATAAACTTACACTGAATAGTTCCATTCGTTACGTTTTCATACGAAAAATAGAAAACAGCTGTACTCAACAAATGTTTTCTAGAATGAACTAAGCTGACAAACCAATACAAAGGTATGTCTCAGACAGTACAAAATGGAGATGCAGATTCAAACGTAATGTGATACAAGAGTATTGATTATGACAACAAAGACAACGGTGGTAATATTCAGCAACATAAATCACGCTTGGAAGGAAGGACTAGGCCGAGAGTATTCAGGGTATTACCATCATCACATACACTGCTGGGCCTCCGTAAGTCACTAAGCTAACCTTAGTACAATGTTAAAGAATGGGAGCTAAGGTTAACCTTTGTAAAGGTTGCTTCGTGAAAGGAGCCCCTTGTCTTCAATGCAATGTGAGATCAGAGGCCACAGTCAGTTCCCCTTACAAACAAACGAAAACAAAACACTAGAAAATTGTACAAAGCTTTCTCAGCCAAAACATTTCGGAATCTGAACCTTGTGATACATCCCCATCTCTCTGTAATATTCTGTGGGGCAGAACACGGCTGTAGCCTCTAGAAATCACAAGTCTTAATATAGAGCAATAGCTGCCCTCAAAGGAATGTCAGATACAACGTATACACATGGAAAAAAGTATCGCAACACCTATGACTTGTTGCCCGCATGCAGTCATTTATGTTGATATAATAAATTTGTTTTTTCTATGATTATTTTTAACCGTAGGGTGCATCATAAATTGATTTCAAGATATGCACGTGCATCACGTGCCATACGTGTACACGCCATGCGCCATAAACAAACATCAAGTTTCGTTAAATGTTTCAGCGCGATAACTTGAAAAGGCAAATGATTTCGTTGTATGGCCTCTCCACAACTAACAAAACCTCAAAGATGGCACCTAGGTGGGGCACTTCTAAGACGTGCTTCAAATCACGTCTAAGGCCTTGTATATCTTTTCCACCCTGAAAGAATTCCGGTGATGAGGGGAAGCTGATTTTCAGGAGCTTATGCTTGTAAGGAACGCTTTGGTAGAATGGTCGTTCAGGTGGTATGACTTGCTTCCTACCTCCACGACGTGAATCGTTGCTCATGATCACAGACTGGATTATTTACAAACGCCATCAGTCGCATCAGCCAGGCTGGTTATAAGAGTATCGGGGTGCATTTTCTAATCCTAATTAGCCTACATTGTTTTTGTCCGCGATATGGGTTGAAGGCGAATTGAGATGTAGGCGAATAGAGACTAAACCGTTGCAATATATCTGAGTCAGTCCTGAACACCAAAAAAACGTATCGTTGCTAATCATACCTAAACATGTCTAATCCTGACTCTTCTGTATTCAGTACCTGCAAGGCTATTCCTATGACGCCATCAACCAAAGGTACGCCGTCAGCGGTAACTACACTGCTGCTTTTCTGGGCACGTACAAGGAAGTCTGGGACTACGGTAAGGTGAGGCAACATATTTCAAAGCAGCGAATGGGTGTTGGTTGGTTTCAGTGTACTGGCTTCCGCATCTACACTGAACGGTAGGTTGGTGTGTCTGTTTGGTTGGATGTTTGATATTGTTGGTATGACCTAATTGATTGATTGATTGATTGATTGATTGATTGATTGGTTGGTTGGTTGTTTGGTGGGTTCATTCATTCATTCATTCATTCAATCCAGGGGACTGGCTTCCGCATCAACTCTTTGACGCAAACTTGTGAGACATTCGCTGTGACCGGGAGATTCCCTGCCAACTGCATTCCAAGTGAGACTTTCAACAACCATTACAGTGTAACTTTGCAGTAAGTGAGAGAGTTTAGTTTTACGCCGCACTCAGCAATCATCCAGCTATATGGCGGTGGTCTGTAAATAATCGAGCTTGGACCAGGCAATCCAGTGATCATCAGCATGAGCATAGATCTCTGCAATTAGGATACGATGACGTGTTTCAACCAAGTCAGCGAGCCTGACCACCCGATAGCCTCTTACGACAGGCATGGGTTAGTGAAGATCAATTCTATCCAGGATCTTCACGGGTCATAACTTTGTAAGATTACTTGAGTGAGTGATTGAAGTTAGGACATCAATGAACACTTTCTCACTTATAACTGCATGACAGCCAAATCTTTTCTATTGATGGCTGTTTAAGCCGAACCGAACTGGTATAATTTTCAACGTTGGAGTAGGATAAAAATCAATCAACGTCGTCATGGAGATTAACCACAGATAGATGTAGCCACAAACAGAGGTTCCTGGAGACCTGGTGGGGTAGCTTAGTTGTTAAGGTGTTCGCTCGTCACGTCGAAGAGTCGGGTTCGACTCCCCACAAGGGTACAATGTGTGGAGCCCATTTCTGGTGTCCCCCGCCGTGATATTGCTGGAGTATTGCTAAAAGCTGCGTAAAGCTATACTCACTGTACTCCTGGAGACATACTCTAACCCACAATGTTGCTTTTAATCATAAGGTCCGGTAGATCTTTTCACTGTGGAAGTGACAATGAGTTAACATGGCAGTGTCCCTCTACTGTATTGCTGGAATATTACCATGACCACTTCTGAAACCATACTCACTGAATTGAGCTATTGCTTGCCAGAGTGAAGCCCATTCTGGTGTCCCCCAGACATATTGCTGAAATATTGCAAAAAGCAGCGTAAAACCTCACTCACTCCTTCAAAATTGAGGACTAACATATCTAGTCACAGTTATCGGTTGTTTAAAATGTGCATCTAAAAAAAATAAATGATATCCACAAGGTGCCCAGAACAGTTCTTAATTTCGAAGCTCCGGCAGTCAAGACTTGGCAAATCCTTCTAGAGTTGGGCTCCTTTTAATTTTATTTCTCCATGTCGCCGACTAGGGAAGACTGCTACTTGGGTTTTTTAAAAGATTATTTGCACTTCAGGTGACGCTTTGGAATTGAGTCCGGCCACCTTCGGCTTTGGCAAGGAGCGCCTCCCTTCTATTCCATACCAATTTAATGACACGAGAGGCGAGTTTAAGAACATCGTTGCCTATGTCAGCGCCAAGAACTGCGTGCCTATTACAACTTCAACCATAACCCAGCGTCCCGGAGGTAAGTGTGGATCACAACTTTCTGATTGTACCGGGGTTGTTGTGCATATGATAGGTCAGATTGTAAAGATAAGTCAGATTGTACATGGAATAGGTCAGATTGTACCGGGGTTGTTGTGTATATAGGTCAGATTGTACCGGGGTTGTTGTGTATATAGGTCAGATTGTACCGGGGTTGTTGTGCATGGGATAAGTCAGATTGTACCGGGGTTGTTGAGCATGGGATAAGTCAGATTGTACCGGGGTTGTTGAGCATGGGATAAGTCAGATTGTACTTGGGTTATTGTGCATTTGAAGGGTCAGATTGTACTTGGTATAACGTGCACAGGAAGGGTCAGATGTACCGGGTTATTGTGTATTTGATGGGTCAGATTTTCCGGGTTTTTGTGTATTTGAAGGGTCAGATTGTAGTTGCGATAATGTGCCCTGGAAAGGTCAGATTGTACTTGGGATAATGTGCACGGTAAGGGTCAGATTGTACTTGGGATAAAAGCAAACCAGTCAGTCAGTCCTAACTTGAAGTGTGTGATTTTTCCAGGCAACGTTTTGAACATCGAGTGCTTCAACGAAATTTTACCCGGCATCAAGGACCTCTCTGTCTTCGACCCCCCATACTACTGTAGAAAGGTGAGAGCAAGACTGAGTCTCTCTCTCTCCCTTCCCCTCTCTCTCTCACACACACATACACAAAGATGACTTTAACTCCCAGCTGCATCCTTGCTTCCCACACACTGCCACCACCGCCCCGCCCCGCCCATCGTACTGTCAGAAGGCGAGTTAGACACATCTGTATCTCAGCTTCCTCTTTAATATGTTTCTTGGTTACTCAGCCTCACACAGTGCTCGTGGACTTTCCCTCCAAGTGGTAACTAACACTGCTCCCAGCATTGTAAACTGCAAGTCCAAACGCTCTATCCAAACAACACTGGTTGAATTCATGCGTTAACAGATTACACTTAGGAACCCTGTCAGCGAGGCGCTACTTCCGGTACTGAGCTGGTTCCGGCTCCCTTTGTGCCCACCAACTTGCGATATGCGATTATTTACAGACCTCCGCCATATAGCTGGATTATTGCTGAGTGCGGCGTAAAACTAAACTGACTCACTCACAACAAATAAATAAAAACAATACTCAATTAATTTAAGATCAGATGCGATCCCTTCAGCCTTACGATCTGACAACCCTTCTACAATGAACCTTCCTGGTCAGTCAATCATTTAAATACTCAAACCATCGTTTCGGAGCTTCACCAGTGCGTATATGATTTTAATGAGACTGTTTCATCTGGATCTACTCATAAATTTACGTTGTTTTCTTATTTCTTTCTCAGACAGCCAAGAAAGTTGCCAGCACCATGAACGATAACGTGCTTGTCTGAAGAAGTTTTACATGTCCAACTTTGTAATAGGATGTTGGAGACGCCATTGTCGAACAACGAACGAATTGATTGTTACTTAGAAAAAGAAATAAAGCTTTCGCATCTGTCATTAGTGTCCTGTTAAGACCTGTCTCATAATCATTAAAGGTGCAGCATGAACGTCCATCCCATGCCGTTCTAGGGTGCGACAACGTCAACGACGATCTTGCCCACTTGGAAAACGCAGGCGACCAGAATAGTCATATCATCATCATTTTATTATCATTATTAATTATTATTTTCTTTTTTTAATTTTTATTTATTGATTTATTTTTTAAAAGAAATTGGGGGGGGTTGTTTCACCCAAATTGTTCTTGAAAAGGGGGGTTGGGGTCACGTACTTTGTACATTTTCATTTATTTATTTATTTATTTGTGTGTTTGTGTGTGTGGGGGGGACACATTGTCACTCATTTCCTTTCCTTTCTCCCCCCATCCCCCATGCTATAAATTATGAACGGTCGTTTAGTGGTGATGAATTCGTGCTCTCTTCAACTGAGCACTTCTGTTCTCGGTATAACCCTCCGTAAATTGAGTGCGGGTATGAAGACTCACGACCTTCCTTGTTCACTCTGAATATTTATTTGTAGGGACTTTACATCGTTGCCTTTATATCAAGGCTGGCGGACATCGAATATGGCCACCCAAAAACGCCACTTTTGACATTCACGACTACTGCACTAAAGGTTTTGCCAGATTACCCTCTAAGGAATAAGAACAACATTCTTTGTAGTTAGAATATGTTCAAATACACCAGTGCGAGGTGGCAGTTAGAAATGGGGGCTGGGAACTAAGCTCGTTGTGAAAGCTCACAATAAAACGTTTAGCACCAGAGACGGACTTGTCATTGAAGACATTTCCCGCAAAAAATGGTTTATATTCCAAAAGTTGAAAACGTCACTAGAAGTGTCAAAACGCCTTAAGAAGCGCCAAACACGGTTATGAACGTTTTCTGTTACGCATTTATCACATGTAGAATACAGTATGTCAAGTGCGGAATACTGTTTGTCGCGCAACTACACACCTCTCCTTTTGGCAAACACCGCATGGGGGGATGGTGTAGCAACCAGAACTGGAATAAAACAGTCCACAATTTCGTAAATCCCTATTTACTGCAGTACTGCCCCCGGTGAACTCTAAAACTTAAAGCGATCAATGCGCGGATTATGATTTAGTTTGTTCTCGTGGGGAAACACTGAAAGTTATCATTTGCATGTTTCCATATTCCTTTTCAAATACGTAAATCACATTTACATGTTTCTGAAATAATTCTGATTCTTGCCGTATTTAGGTGGTCGTGATCCAATTTACTGCATTTATACATGGTCTTTTTACTTTAGATAGGTTGCATAGTTCAGCTGTTTTGGGTACAGATATATAACTAACACCACACAGAATGAAAGATGGGAGAGGTTGTACACCGGCTATGTTATATATAATTCAGACAGAAAGGTGAGGGAGGATGTGTATATAACATGTTTAATATATCACTCACAACGAAGGGAGTGAGAGTGTACGTATTGTACATCACTCTGAATAGAGGGGACGTGAGATGTATACACAAAGAACTTGATTGAATGAGCCCCGATCTTAACCATTTGGGGCATATATGGGGCATGATTGGTCGTCGTGTGCAACAAAGGGATCCTTCTGTAGAGGAATCTGCTTTACTCGAGGAATGGCGTAGACTGCCCCTTCAGAGGATCAGGAGGCTGACAGGGGGTATGAGGAGGGGTGTGCTAGCTGTCATACAGTCACGTGGAGGATACACTTGGTATTGACCTTGAATCGAGAAAGACACGCAAAATTACATTTTGAATGTTCACATTCACCAATAAATTCAACATTAATAGCAGCTTAAAATCTGTCACGTTAGAAAGTCTGAAAGTATGACATCAACGTAATATGGAAGCTGGACTGACTGGGTATGGTTTTACGACGCTCTTAGCAAACTTCCAGCAATATCACGGCGGGGACACCAGAAATGGGTTCACGTCACGCTGAAGACCCGGGTTCAATTCCCCACATGAATACAATGTGTGAAACCCATTTCACTGAGATCGACATAGACAGTGTGATGATTGTCATTTCAAAAATCACACCGATTTTCACACAAAACCATGTTTGTACAAGGATGGCCCTGGAATGTTTAATGTTGAATAAACTTTTACATCGTGGTCACCACGAGACGTTTTAAGTACATGTTGAAAACCTATCATTGCAAAGAATTGCTTATAACACGAAGACCCGGGTTCGATTCCCCACATGAGTACAATGTGTGAAGCCCATTTCACTCAGATCGATATAGACAGTGTGTGAGTGTGATAGGGTGGAGTATTGGATATACTATTTCATCCATCCCCAAGAATACTACATGAGGAATGCCGCAGATACAGATACAGATACAGATAGCAGCTTAAAATCTGTCACGTTAGAAAGTCTGAATGTATGACATCAACGTAATATTACCAATGGAAGCTGGACTGACTGGGTATGGTTTTACGCCGCTCTTAGCAATATTCCAGCAATATCACGGCGGGGACACCAGAAATGGGCTTCACGTCACGCTGAAGACCCGGGTTCGATTCCCCACATGAGTACAATGTGTGAAGCCCATTTCACTCAGATCGACATAGACAGTGTGTGAGTGTGTTTGGGTGGTACGGTGGAGTTGTATTGGATAGTTATGTTTATAGATTTTATGATGATAATTTATCATTTAAAAACCCCCACTGATTTATGTAATTAGTTTATGTTTTGTATCTTCATGTAAATCTAGGTGCTTAAGCTTCGGTTTATGATTCACGTTGGCAATCTATAAAATGTCTATATATTACAGTTATGTTATAAATTCACTATAAGTATAAGCAGATCGTGTGCATTGTACCCATGTGGGGAATCGAACATAAAAATATGACAAAATGATTGGAATCCATATAGATTTTATGATGATAATTGATCAGTCTATTTACAATTGTTATAAATCGTCACGCGAGGAGCGAACGATTTATAACAACCGACCCCAATGGAAGCTGGAAAGTATAACAATCATGTAATATTCCCAAACATATACTGGGGAATCGAACCCGGGTCTTCAGCGTGACCAGCGAACGCTTTAACCACTAGGCTACACCACCGCCATCATGTTTATGGCATACTGTCCAGCTCGCATTGCGAATATTAAATGTACATTCATGTGGTTCTTTCCTGCCTCCATCAGCAATATTAGATTTTTGTCATACTGCCCAGCTTCCATTGGGAATATTACATTGATGTCACACTTCCTGCCTCATCGGTAACATTACATTGATGTCACACTTTCCTGCCTCATCGGTAATATTACATTGATGTCACACTTCCTGCCTCATCGGTAATATTACATTGATGTCACACTTCCTGCCTCATTGGTAATATTACATTGATGTCACACTTTCCTGCCTCATCGGTAATATTACATTGATGTCACACTTTCCTGCCTCATCGGTAATATTACATTGATGTCACACTTTCCTGCCTCATCGGTAATATTACATTGATGTCACACTTTCCTGCCTCATCGGTAATATTACATTGATGTCACACTTTCCTGCCTCATCGGTAATATTACATTGATGTCACACTTTCCTGCCTCATCGGTAATATTACACTGTCACACTTTCCTGCCTCATCGGTAATATTACATTGATGTCACACTTTCCTGCCTCATCGGTAATATTACATTGATGTCACACTTTCCTGCCTCATCGGTAATATTACATTGATGTCACACTTTCCTGCCTCATCGGTAATATTACATTGATGTCACACTTTCCTGCCTCATCGGTAATATTACATTGATGTCACACTTTCCTGCCTCATCGGTAATATTACATTGATGTCACACTTTCCTGCCTCATCGGTAATATTACATTGATGTCACACTTTCCTGCCTCATCGGTAATATTACATTGATGTCACACTTTCCTGCCTCATCGGTAATATTACATTGATGTCACACTTTCCTGCCTCATCGGTAATATTACATTGATGTCACACTTTCCTGCCTCATCCTGCCTCATCGGTAATATTACATTGATGTCACACTTTCCTGCCTCATCGGTAATATTACATTGATGTCACACTTTCCTGCCTCATCGGTAATATTACATTGATGTCACACTTTCCTGCCTCATCGGTAATATTACATTGATGTCACACTTTCCTGCCTCATCGGTAATATTACATTGATGTCACACTTTCCTGCCTCATCGGTAATATTACATTGATGTCACACTTTCCTGCCTCATCGGTACATTATTCACACATTGATGTCACACTTTCCTGCCTCATCGGTAATATTACATTGATGTCACACTTTCCTGCCTCATCGGTAATATTACATTGATGTCACACTTTCCTGCCTCATCGGTAATATTACATTGATGTCACACTTTCCTGCCTCATCGGTAATATTACATTGATGTCACACTTTCCTGCCTCATCGGTAATATTACACATACTGATGTCACACTTTCCTGCCTCATCGGTAATATTACATTGATGTCACACTTTCCTGCCTCATCGGTAATATTACATTGATGTCACACTTTCCTGCCTCATCGGTAATATTACATTGATGTCACACTTTCCTGCCTCATCGGTAATATTACATTGATGTCACACTTTCCTGCCTCATCGGTAATATTACATTGATGTCACACTTTCCTGCCTCATCGGTAATATTACATTGATGTCACACTTTCCTGCCTCATCGGTAATATTACATTGATTGCCTCACGTCACACTTTCCTGCCTCATCGGTAATATTACATTGATGTCACACTTTCCTGCCTCATCGGTAATATTACATTGATGTCACACTTTCCTGCCTCATCGGTAATATTACATTGATGTCACACTTTCCTGCCTCATCGGTAATATTACATTGATGTCACACTTTCCTGCCTCATCGGTAATATTACATTGATGTCACACTTTCCTGCCTCATCGGTAATATTACATTGATGTCACACTTTCCTGCCTCATCGGTAATATTACATTGATGTCACACTTTCCTGCCTCATCGGTAATA